CCTCCCTCCCTCATTGATTCACTCAGCAAATACTTAGTGGACACATCCTGTGCGTCAGGGAATTGCGCGTGGAACCAGACCAGGCCTTGCTCGCCCCGCTCGCCTGAGTTAGGGGGAGGTAGCGGGAGTGACAGACCCTAAACCACAGTAAACACATCAGCAGGGGCTGCAGCGGGTGCGAAAGGGGCCTCTGAGCGCATTTCCCGTGCGTCGCGCCCCCGCAGTTTGGTCTCACCCTCGGGTGGGATGACCAGCTTGTCCCGGTCCGCCCAGCACTGTCCCAGTTCAGACCTGCGAGTCCGGCCCGTCAGCACCGCCCACCACCCTGTCCTCAGCCAGAACCATCCTCGCCAGAGACGGAGAAACTGAGGCCTGAGACACAGGCAGGTCTCCCCGGGTTGGGGGGCTGCGGGGGGACGGGAGGGGCAGGTAGAGAGCTGGAGGTCCCAGCTGAGAATCCAGGGCTCTTTCAGGCTACGGGCCCTGAAATGAGACACGGCCGGGATCCCCTCGCGGCCAGGTCCTGGGACGCACGGACACACCCGCAGGCCCGGGAGGGGCTGCATCGCTGCTGCCGGGTGGCGCCCCCGCCCTTTTGAAGCAGAGACCCCAGGACGGTCCGGGCAGCTCAGCCCCCACCGGCTCCCAGGGGACTCCGAGACCCCCGCTGGCCGCCTTCCGGGAAGAGAAGCCTGGTCCTCCTCTCTTCCTCCTCCTCTTCCTCCTGGAACCTTGACTAAGCCCAGCTGGGAAGTCAGCAGGGGGGGGAGGCCCGGCCTCACCGCCCTCGCGGCGGCAAGCAGGGACAAGTGCAGCCCTTCCCTCTGCAACGCGAGGGCCTGGGGAGCGGGGTGCTCCTCTCCACCCCGGGGCTGAGCCCTCCCAGCTGTGCAGTGCTGGGAACAGGCCAGGCCTTTGTGAAATCCTGGGTGAGCCTGACCCACTGTCAGGAGGCCTGCCTGTTGCCTGTGGAAGCGGGGAGGGGGGGTGGGCTGTTCCCAGAAGCAGGGAGGACTCTGGACTTCCCACTCCTGAGCCTGGGCGGCCTTAAGCAACAGCGGCCTGAGCTGTGTGTGTGGCAGAGAGGCTGCGAGCCCCCACCCCACCCCCTCTTCTGAAAGGAAGCGGCTCTGAGCGCTAGAATGTCCTGCAGTCCTGAATGCCATGCTCACAGCGCAGCA